AGGACACATTATATGAGAATAAATGCCATGCGTGCCTTCAATGTTGCTCTATCCTGGAGGCTTCCCTCCACTCCAGATGTGAGCACGTGGCTTGCATGCCCCTCCAGCGCCCTGCACTGTGGTCCTACCTGCGGCTACCACATTCTCAGCCCAAGCATCCCTACACAGGCGCCAAACTCTATGGCTCAGGCTGGCCATCGCTCTGGGTCCACAAGCTGGTCAGAGAGAAACTGTCTTCAGCCCGCCCAGCAGGAGAAAAGAGCATTCGAGACTGATCAACTGGGTTCCTGTCATCCAGGCAGATGTCCTTGTCGTGTCTGGAGGCTCAAGACTTGACTGTGCTTCCTTTGCGGACTCCTTCCATACCCAGGCTGTGGGCTCCACTGCCCTCCTCAAGCCCCGTGCAACGTGTTCTATCCCTGCCTCTGTTGCAGGCAAACCTGCTCGCCACAAGCTCCCTGCACATAGGACATCGGGGTCCTCCCAAGGCTGCTCTTCCTGGAGAAGAAGGAGAACCAGGTATTAAGGTCTATCTGAGCATCACCGGAAGGAAGTGATCCGATTCTGACTCCAGTGGGCACACACACCTTGGTGCTTTGTGTCTCCTGCTATTCCAGCACAGGAGCAGGGGAAATTGTGTGAGCTGTGGTCCTAGCTTGGAATAATCAATAAAAGGTGAAGTGAGAGAAAGCACTATGCACAGTGTCACTTTGTTATCCTCATTGTTTCACCTGCTGTGAAACACCTTACATGTTTACATTTAGTTGTCAGAAAAACCTCATGGTGACTGAGACAGATGTCAAACTCACCTTTACCCTCCCTTGGCCCATGCCATAGGCGACACGTCCTGTACCATAGCTTCTGGAGTGGGAACCCTGCCACGGAGTATGCGTTAAAGTGGTATCTGCCTGTGTGGATGTGAAGACAGCTTTTCCATTTTTTCCCCCTCACCTTCCATTGAGGGGTGGGATGAGGCCCCTCCCTGTTAACCAGACCTGACACTAGTGATCTCTTGGCACTGACAGTTTCTGTGGAAGTGACACTGTGTAAACCAAGTCAGAGCTCTGAATTCTCTGGGACTGCCCAGCTTCCTGGAAACCCAAGCCACATGGGAGGCCTCCGGTAGGTCATTCAGTCAAGGTCAGCTTCACTGCAGACTCTCAACGAAGTCACCTTCAGTCTATTCCGACCCCCTCATACCAACTCAGCCCTAACCTGTGACACTTTTTTTGCTGAGGCTCCATCATCAGCGGAGACGAGTCACCCGCAGCAGCCCTGTCTGAATTACTCACCTGTGCCTGCGAGCAAAAACAGTGCATGTTTTTATCCACCGTGAGGCTGATAACTCTTGTTTCCTCATCTGTTTGTTTTTGCATAATAACAGATACAGCTCTTGTAGGAAACTCAAAATATAAAAGAGAATGAACACTGCGATCTGAGTTTTCTTCTTTCATGTTCTGCAGCCTTTCAGGTTGTGATTCCAAATATACAGGCCAGTAAGTTTCTGTAGATTCTTACAGAATTATTAACTGAACTATTAATAGCACTGACATCATGACAATATTTTCCCTAAGGGTTTTTTATGTTTAGTTATTTATTCTTCATCTACTGTACAGAGTCAGGTGTCAGCAGCAAGGAGGTTTCTCTGCTCCACTAAGACCGCCCCAAGCTGGGAAGGCTGAGCTTCTCCTTGTCACCTTCCTGACACTGCTCCACCCGTTATCATGTGATATTCTTACTCTTTGTTCATTTTCTCCTCCAGTTGGAAACTCAAAAAAGTAAATCTGTTTTCTAGTTTTGCTGTTTCCCTTTGTGTGTGCTCGTGTTTAAGATGCAAACATGCAGAAGAAATTTGGGGTGAATCGGCAGTGACGGGCACTTGTACCAACAGCTTTCAATATCATGAACGGTAGTGACTTTG